TACGATCCATAGACATAGTGACTGTGCATCGTGCAGATCTCGAGGATACGTTACCCGAGTCCGATGTCGTTCTGGATGATGCTCGAAATCCTCGAATCGGCGATTAACCGAATGAAATCACACGGTGCACACGGTACCGTCGTCGCATGCCTGGAATTTCGTACTCTCCCCCCATTCTGCCTCGCTTTTATTATTTTCTATTTTTCCCCCTCCCCATTCAGCGCTCCCCTCCGGCGTAGAAGTTTCGCGTTGCGCTTCGTACACTTTTCAAATATCCCTCGCGTTCATTTTTAGAGAAGAGAAAGAGATCTTGTCTGCTTGATGTTACATTCGTGCCACGTTTGTAACCAGTGTTCACGTTTCGAAACGGTGGTTCAGGTTTGATGATGCTCGATGACCGCGGGAAGCAAAGTTCCGAGAGGCTCTTTCGCTTTGAGAGTTTCTCGAGCGACTTTCGATGACACGTGACGGAAACTCGACCCTCGGCCTTCAAACTGATGTTAATTGAATTAGATAATAGATAAAAAAGGGTTAGATCTCCTCAACGCATCAATTCAATCAAAAGTTGCAAGTTGACGAATTTTCATGAATAAATAATTGTCACAAGAGTCATTATTATTTGAATGTATATAATGTTTTATCTGTATCTGATGTTTACATATGTCTTTAATTGTCTGAAGTAACTATGCAACTAGTTACTATCTAAATGTATCTAATACTTTAGTACATCTATCTTTCTACTTGTCTAAAGTAGTTATTTAACTAGTCACTATCTAAATGTATCTAATATTTTAGTGATGTTTGCATGTATCTTTTTATTTGTCTAAAATAAAAAGATACATGTAAACATCAGATGGATAGTAATTATCTGACTAGTTACTACCTCAGTATATCTAATATTTTAGTGATGTTTGCATGTATCTTTTTATTTGTCTAAAATAAAAAGATACATGTAAACATCAGATGGATAGTAATTATCTAACTAGTTACTATCTCAGTATATCTAATATTTTAGTGATGTTTACATGTATCTTTTTACTTGCCTAAAGACACACAAGGAGGAATGTCCCGCAACACTGGACCTGGCTTGTATGAATTCCTTATGGAAGCAGAACTCCAGCAGTATTATCCTGGAATTCGAGGTAGTGTATTTCCAAATGAAGTCATTAAACAGCCAATTGAATTGTTTCCTGACTGATATAATCTGTCGTGTCATGTTCACTCAGGGGACCTGAAGGTGCAAACAACTGCTCAACTGAAATATGTAACGGAGGAAGACTTGAACGCCATTGGAATGAGCAAGCCTGAAATGCGTCGTTTGAAGAAGTACTTTCAGAAACACTTCCCGCAGAATTACCTGTCCAAATTCAAGAAGATGCTGTTACCAAAACGGGAGGAGCCAGCCACAGGTGCTTTAACTATGTTACCAGAAGAGAGGCAGGACAAGCCACCGATTCGCGTTCCCAATAAGTACATGATACCGGCAGACGCGATCATCGTGAACAAGGAGTTAGGGACCGGCGAGTTTGGCGTTGTCCAGCAGGGCGTTTGGACAAACGACGGGGAAAGGATACAAGTGGCGATTAAATGTTTGTCACGGGAGAGAATGCAGAACAATCCGATTGAATTTCTGAAAGAGGCGGTCATAATGTACGCGATAGATCACGAGCACATCGTGAGACTGTACGGCGTAGTCTTGGACACGAACTCTTTGATGCTCGTCACGGAATTGGCTCCCTTGAGATCGTTGCTGGAATGTTTGAAAGAGCCCAGTTTGCGCACCAGCTTTCGCGTTCTCTCGTTGTGCGACTTTGCTGTACAGATCGCCGACGGGATGCAGTATCTAGAAGCGAAACGATTGATACACAGAGACCTCGCTGCCCGGAATATTTTAATGTTCTCGAAGAACAAGGTCAAAATATCCGACTTTGGATTGTCCCGGGCCCTAGGAGTCGGGAAGGACTATTACCAAACGAACTTCAACGTGAACTTGAAACTACCGATAGCGTGGTGCGCTCCGGAATCTATATTGTACTTGAAGTTCACTTCTGCGAGCGATGTATGGGCCTATGGTGTGACACTGTGGGAGATGTTCAGCTACGGTTTCCAACCGTGGGCGGGGTTGACGGGTCATCAGATCTTAGAAGCGATAGATGACCCTAACTTTCAGAGACTGGAGCAACCAGAGTGCTGCCCTAAGGAATATTTCTCGCTCATGCAACAGTGCTGGCAGCACGAGCCGTCCAAACGGCCAAAATTCTCTGAACTGATCAATCTGCTGCCTGATTTGAAACCGGAGCAAGTACAGGCTGTGCAGGACAGCGCGGAAAGCAGCCAGCTTGTTTACAGGCAAGGAGACGTCATCACTGTCCTCGACAAGGGGAGCAGCAACACTTTGTGGAAAGGTGTTTTGAACAATGGGAAAACCGGTTTCTTCAATCCCGCTCACACGATAGCGTATCTCGGGTCTAATTTGCCGAGTAACAAGCCGGGTGAGTTCACACGCGGCGATGGGAAGAACGCTTTTTCCTCTCAAAGACGAAAGATCCGGACGGATATGATTTCCTCGCCGCAAGGCGACTTGAAGCACACTGGCCACGTAGGGTTGGACGGAGCTTATTTCGGTGACATTGGCTTCCTCGGTGGCAAATATCCGCACTTGCCGAGGCAAGTGGTGACGCCGTACAAACCACAGGAGGATGTGACGGATAATTCTAGTCAAGCTTTGAACGAGGAGACGAGGAGCGCGGAGACGAACAGGGAATTGTTGAGGGATTACAGGAATGCACAGCAGGATGTTTTAAATAAGCATGGTGTGCATATTTTTCTTCAAATAATATTAAGCATTTAAGA